TGCTGTAGGATTCATCCCGTCGCTTGCCACCAATTGTTAAGACACCTCCCGTGTCTTTAAGCCAAACCGCCGTTTAGTAAACCTTCCCCGGCTGCAGTACAGTCTCTGTTCGCTTACTCTGTAACCCACGAACCAAATGCAGGGGAAGCGGCAATCTCCCGATCGAAATCCACGAACGGCTCCAAACTCCCGAACGGCAATATACGAACTGCTAGGAACCGTCGAACAATAATATCCCCAAAGCGGCTTTCGTTCCATCCAGCAGTCTCTAAACGTGAAGAAGAAATCCCCCCAATAACGAGACAGAAGCTCCGCATTGAGGGTCAAATAAGATCTGGGTTTACTGTGGGCTACCTGCCCGTATTTATGCAGGTCTCCCACCTGGTGGACACTCCCCTAGGGGACCAAATGGAAGACTTAAAGTACAGACAGATAGCAGGACATTTCTGACACACAGTCACATATTTTACCCACAGTACATTCTGATTCCCTCCCCTCTGTCCTGGAGTTAATTACCAAGTAACTCAATTAACTCCAGGACAAGGACAGTCGCCATCTTAAACATGAAATAATAAAAGACACAAAAATGCATAACTACATGAAGACTGAACATTTCCCATTCGTATTACATGTCCCCAGATAGCCTGGATCTGAGTGCATATTATTGGCGAATAGCGCTCAGATCCCACACACATAGTTCAATCGCCATGGAGTCAAAGTTCTTACAGTCCTTCGGTACACGAATGACTCCATGGGTGGGCTATCTGGGTTAAGTCTTTTGTGTGTTCTCAATCTCCCGAACGGCCGATGTTCGCATGCTTTCGTGGAGGCAGCCAGGCGTTCCCTTGTTTCAGCGGTGTTCGACAGAAAAAGTGTCCGTTTTCCGTTCCATAGAAATAGAGCCAAACACCGCTGAGCGTTCGCATGATTTAAAATGGCCGCTGCCTCGTGGTCGACATACGAACGACGACCACCCTGAGTTCGGTTTAATTGAGAAGTGTCTGCGGTTAACCACAACGTTATAATGGTGATCACTTCGTTAACCTGCAGCACACTCCTCACTTGGGTGGCCGTTCGTTCGGCGGTTTTGTTCGGGAAAAAGAGTCATTCGAATGGCTGGGCTATAGAAACCAGCCATTCATACGAACGGGGACAAACAGACGAACGGGCAAAAATCCAGCAGACAGATGGTTCTGTCACAGAGTGTATCACAGAGCTCCACAGTAATAAACTCACAGTAATGTGCAGTGTGTATGAGGGTATCACAGAGCTCCACAGCAATAAAACTCACAGTAACATGCAGTGTTAATGAGGGTATCACAGAGCTCCACAGTAATACAACACAGTAATGCACAGTGTGTATGAGTGTATCACAGAGCTCCACAGCAATAAACTCACAGTAATGCACAGTGTGTATGTGTATCACAGAGCTCCACAGTAATAAAACTCACAGTAATGTGTAGTGTGTATGGGTGTATCACAGAGCTCCACAGTAATAAAACTCACAGCAATGTGCAGTGTGTATGAATGTATCACAGAGCTCCACAGTAATAAACTCAAAGTAATGCACAGTGTGTATGTGTATCACAGAGCTCCACAGCAATAAAACTCACAGTAACGAGCAGTGTGTATGAGTGTATCACAGAGCTCCACAGCAATAAAACTCACAGTAACATGCAGTGTTTATGAGGGTATCACAGAGCTCCACATCAATAAAACGCACAGTAACGTGCAGTGTGTATGAGGGTATCACAGAGCTCCACAGTAATAAAACTCACAGTAATGCATAGTGTGTATGAGTGTATCACAGAGCTCCACAGCAATAAAACTCACAGTAACATGCAGTGTGAATGAGAGAATCACAGAGCTCCACAGCAATAAAACTCACAGTAATGCACAGTGTGTATGAGTGTATCACAGAGCTCCACAGCAATAAAACTCACAGTAATGTACAGTGTGTATGAGTATCACAGAGCTCCACAGCAATAAAACTCACAGTAATGTGCAGTGTGTATGATGTATCACAGAGCTCCACAGTAATAAAACTCCCAGTAATGTGCAGTGTGTGTGAGTGTATCACAGAGCTCCACAGTAATAAAACTCACAGTAATGCATAGTGTGTATGAGTGTATCACAGAGCTCCACAGCAATAAAACTCACAGTAATGCAAAGTGTGTATGAGTGTATCACAGAGCTCCACAGCAATAAAACTCACAGTAATGCACAGTGTGTATGAGTGTATCACAGAGCTCCACAGCAATAAAACTCACAGTAACGTGCAGTGTGTATGAGGGTATCACAGAGCTCCACAGCAATAAAACTCATAGTAATGTGCAGTGTGTGTGAGTGTATCACAGAACTCCACAGCAATAAAACTCACAGTAATACACAGTGTGTATGTGTATCACAGAGCTCCACAGCAATAAAACTCACAGTAATGTGCAGTGTGTATGAGGGAATCACAGAGCTCCACAGCAATAAAACTCACAGTAATGTGCAGTGTGTATGAGGGTATCACAGAGCTCCACAGCAATAAACTCACAGTAATGCAGTGTGTATCACAGAGCTCCACAGCAATAAAACTCACAGTAATGTGCAGTGTGTATGAGTATCACAGTGCTCCAGAGCAGTAAAACTCACAGTAATGTGCAGTGTGTATGAGGGAATCACAGAGCTCCACAGCAATAAAACTCACAGTAATGTGCAGTGTGTATGAGGGGATCACAGAGCTCCACAGCAATAAAACTCACAGTAATGTGCAGTGTGTATGAGTGTATCACAGAGCTCCACAGCAATAAACTCACAGTAATGCACAGTGTGTATCACAGAGCTCCACAGCAATAAAACTCACAGTAATGTGCAGTGTGTATGAGGGAATCACAGAGCTCCACAGCAATAAAACTCACAGTAATGTGCAGTGTGTATGAGTGTATCACAGAGCTCCACAGCAATAAAACTCACAGTAATGCATAGTGTGTATGAGTGTATCACAGAGCTCCACAGTAATAAACTCACAGTAATGCACAGTGTGTATGTGTATCACAGAGCTCCACAGTAATAAAACTCACAGTAATGTGTGTATGAGTGTATCACAGAGCTCCACAGCAATAAAACTCACAGTAACATGCAGTGTTTATGAGGGTATCACAGAGCTCCACAGTAATAAAACACAGTAACGTGCAGTGTGTATGAGGGTATCACAGAGCTCCACAGCAATGAAACTCCCAGTAATGCACAGTGTGTATGAATGTATCACAGAGCTCCACAGCAATAAAACTCACAGTAATGTGCAGTGTGTATGAGAGAATCACAGAGCTCCACCGCGATAAAACTAACAGTAATACACAGTGTGTATGAATGTATCACAGAGCTCCACAGCAATAAAACTCCCAATTGCTCATTTTAGGCCAATACAGCATATTTATTGAATTCATTCTCCGCCTTATTTCCAGTTTGTAAAATAATCCTACCCAAATTCACACTGCATTCTGCATCATTTTTTTTCTTTTTGATTTCTCAGAATAATTAACTCTCCATTGTGCAGGATCAGCACTTCCTTGTAGTAAATTCTTCCCTTCTGTTGCAACAAAGCATTCAATCATTAATATGTGGTATAGTAATAGCAATGTAGAAACAATTAGCCGAATGATCAGGACTTTTATTAAACCATGAATTGCAGTCTGCATACATTTCCCATTTTCCCCATGATAGCGGTAGTCTTTAAAGGAGTGGAGATCGTACGGTACACGGCCTGTGCTACAAATGGTTTAACCCCAAAGTTTTCAATCCGGCATCTTTCAGCCTGGCACCCAGTCCGAGGCTTCCTTAATCAACCCTCAGACTGCAATGGAGGTTCAGGGGAGACCTGATGGGCGCTGGATTGAAGACTTAGAGTAAGTGGACCTCCTTATATTATAACAACTTAATTTTAATGAAAGTGTCCCTTTAAATGCTAGCTCAAGTTGGTAGCTGTCAAATCTGGAGAGAGATTTTCCTGTTGGCGCTAGTAATTACAGATTCCTGCTGTTCAAGGGAACAGTTTTTCTTCTCGTAACAGTCGCATTGCCTTCTTACCAGTGTGATTGTCCCTGGCACCGGTGGCCCATCTGGAATTGTGTCAGTTTCCTGTATTTCACAATTCGTAAAGCAATTGGACATGTCCCAAGAGATTTGCATTTTGCAAGTGAATGTAGGTTCTTTTATATGACGGAAGAATCTTTCTCTAATGTTCCTACTTGTAGAAAAATTTAAAGTGTACTTAGTTCATGGAACTGACAACCAGATGAGGTGTTTCAACCAAAGAGAGAGTATCATGTTGTTACAAACTCCCCTTCTCACGTGAGTTTGCCACAAGCTCCTGGAGAAGCCTGCTTGCCAGCCTCCTGCCCACAGACTACGGACCCTGTAATATGTGATGTAAAAGTCTCTGTTTGTGTGTTTGGACTGTATGGTTCGGGAACCGAACAGCCGCATGAACCGGAGACCACCCTGGGGCTTGTTAAACCTAATTGCTACTTTGTAGCAATTTCCACGGCAGTGTTCTAAGTGTTTGTATGGGTGGCCGCATTTCCTATGGACGACCACGAGGTGGCAGCCATCTTGTTCACATGAACACAGGAAGCAGTGTTTGGTCGTCGAGTTCATGGAACTATTTTCGGACACAAACTCCCGAACACCGCTGGACTTCCATGATCGCCTGGAAGCGACTGTTCGGTGGAAACGTTCCCACGAACAAGGTGAACAAGCTCCAGGGTAAGAACATCGACTATGTTCAGTAGTTTGTTTGTTTTTTAAACTACCGAACTAGAACGACCGCAAGCCCTGATTTTCTGGAACTGTTTTGGGGTGTTTATGAAATATGTGTTTTTTGTGCCTGGAGATAATTGAGTTTTGTAGAGTTCCTGACTAGTGATGTCCCGAACGGTTCACGAATGGTTCGCCACGAACGGTTTGCCGCGGACTCATCATTGAGTAAACTTTGACCCTGTACCTCACAATCAGCAGACACATTCCAGCCAATCAGCAGCAGACCCTCCCTCCCAGACCCTCCCAACTCCTGGACAGTTCACTAAGAATGCAGCTTCAAAATGGATGCTGTCCAGGAGGTGGGAGGGTCTTGGAGGGAGGGTCTGCTGCTGATTGGCTGGCATGTATCTGTTGACTGTGAGGTACAGGGTCAAAGTTTACTCAATGATGAGTCCGTGGCAAACCATTCGTGGCGAACCGTTCGTGGCGAACCGTTCGGCAAACCGTTCGGGACATCACTATTCCTGACTCAATGATCTCCCAAGCATAGGGGAAGGATTATCCTGTTTTCTGTGGGAGTGTCATGGGCGTGCTTGTCTGTGTTCAGAAATGTATAAAAGCAGGCCATCTGGCCAGATTAAATTTATCCCAGCTTGTACTCCCAGAACTTGTAAGGACTAGAGTTCCCAGGACTGAGTGTCGTCCAGTACCTGGGGGTGGCTAGAGCGAGTTCCTCATTCGGCTCCAGGAGAGAGCGGTTCCAGGACTCCAGTCAAGCCATGGCGACTGAGGGCAAGAGTGCGGAGGTTTGTCCCCTGTTCCAGCTAGGAAGCGGTCCTTGCCGGAGGTACCCAGCCAGGGGTACAGGGAGCGCCGTTACACATGAAAAACACAACAACTTTCCATGTGTTCTAGACTGCATTAATAGATGTTATGTTGTAGAGTTGTAACGCCCATAACGGTTTACCTGAATCTTCCTCCACGGCAATGTGTATGCTCAGCGGCATAGCTAAAAAATTACTACCATCTAAATATTATTTTGTAGATTTACTAGCAATAAAAACATGCATGCATTTACTTATGCATTCTTTCACAGGACGTATATATAAAAATAGTTTGTAAAAGCTGAAGATCTCTCATCTGCAGCCTTTGCAATCCTTCCAACGTCTAACCCCGCCCAGACTTTCTGTGTCTGTCCAATCGCAGACTTCCCAATGCAGCTCAATGAGAAGTCTTTGCACAGCAGGTGCTCTGGGCAATTGCTGCCTCTTGAATTTATGTTCACTGAGCTCAACAAACCAGGAAGTAACAGGACGGGGTGTCTGATTGACAGGTAGGGGAGGGTGTAACAAGTATCATTTATAAAAGATACAATTTCTATTGAAATCTGCACTTTTTGTAATATGAACACGTAAAGAGCTTCAGCAAGATAAACTGCTTAAGGGGTCCAGAGTGTATTCAAATTCTGTCAGTGGAACTCAATGAATCAAACAGGAATCCAGCAATACATTAATTCTACATACTGCGGGGCAGAACCTTTCATGTCATTTCCATCTGTATGATATCTGACAACCCTGACAGATAATGCAGCTCTGCCTGACAGATCTTGTCTTACAAATCTCAGAATTCTTTCTTTGCCAACGGCTTGCCAGGAATTCTGGGAAAAGCCGTCCGACAACAGCTGTAGGTAGGATTCCTGGATTCAGCGCATTTTTCTGAACACGTAACCCTTTTTCTGGTGGTGCTCAGGGCGGCCGCGGAGGAATAATTTATCTAATCCTGTACTAAGATTTCTTTATGATATCCAGAAAAGCATGCAGCTGTTATAGGTCATGATGGAAAGAAAATGCTCTAACTGCACCAGATTTCACCGATTTGAACTCCCTAATTCACAGTCAGTCAGGAATTCAAAGTTATTTTGCAAATTCAGGCCAAAATCGGCAAACTAAAAAATAACTGCCTTGGAGAAATTCTGCAATTCCGGGCCAAAATTTTCAAATGCAAATAAATTCCTGGCAAAGAGTAACACGGAGCATTACTGAACCAGCACCGCCCCCTAGGGGACAAAAGGATAATTAACTTAATGGAAGCAAATTGTGAAATGATTCCAGTAAATGTAAACTGTATTGATGAGAAACTGTGATCAGGTTTCCTTCTGCTAGAGTTCGAGTAAATTCCTTTGTCATGTTCTAAGAACAGGTTCATTTTCAGTTTTGCTTCTTGAGAAAGTTTATTTAATTTTTTTCTTAAAAAGGAAGTGTTTAAATACAATCATTTAACCTCATATAGTTCAATGTCTATAATAATTAGCTTTCTGAATTAATCATACAGAAACATATGAACGATTCTCATGACATGCAACAGTTTTGGTTTCTGTTTACTTTCTTTATTAATAAAAAAAATAGCTGTAGTGGTATCTTGCTGTGCTAGATAAACCTACCAAGATATTATCAAGCTGCAGGGTAATCAGATTAGGAGTGGCTCTCTCTGGGGTTCCCAAAATACATCTCATAGTTTAAAAAAAAAAATCATTAAAAGTGAGAACTGTTAGGAATTCAAATGATTACTCCAACCATTAGAACTACTGCAAAACTCTGTAATGGTCATAATGGCAGACATATCCTGCACTGTCCCTCGATACTTTTACAATGGTTTGTCCAATTACCTGGGTCCCCGTCGGGCACTGGGTCTCTACTCCTGCTGGCTTACAACATCTGGATTCATCAGCTGAAAGCACAGAATTGACATTGTTCCAGGCTGGCTAATGACCACCCAGTAAGGATGCCAAGGCTGGAGTTACACCACCGGCACGAAAATGTGCCTTTGCTAGCTTTGAATTTAATGGAGTTTTGTCTGAGCTGGTGAGTGGAGTTCTTAATGTTCTTCAGACCTGGGCTGACCCACTAGGATATTTCCTGGAATTCAGCATCTGCGGCCATCCGTAATATGATGAGTATGTAAGATGTTTTTCAAGAGATGCAGAAGGCATTCATAACACATGTTGGTTGACATCGGTGGTAATGACGTTGTGGAAACACAACATCCCCAGCTCTCTGTCACACTGTACAGGTCATACCGATGCAGGTTGCTGAGATATTTGAAGTAACACCTTGTAACTCCAGCCGATACGACCTTTCAGTGGGTGTGATGCCCACTTCTGCTCAAGCCCACCCATTATAGATTTCCCCTTGAAGGCCATCCAGACTTCACACCAATGTCGGGAGGTAAGCATTATGATTCCCACTTTGTCTTAGAGCCTTCTCACTTCCTGTCACATAGTAAGTGGAGAGCCAGAGCCGCAGGTTCTGATATTGTCTAGGTATGCCTCTGGATTTATTTTCTTCGAATTTTTAGAACTAAAAGGGGGGGGCAGAGGTGAAAATTATGCCAAGAACAGTTTAAAATAAAAAAGGAATATGATTTGTTGGTACAATAGTATACTTTTACTTGTGAGAAATTAATTTCCTTATACATAAAACAAGATTAAATGATTAACTCGAAACAGCAAATTAACTATAAAGAATTTATCATTTAGAATTCTATAAAGAACTGGACCATTCAGTGTTAGAACTCACAAAATACAGAAAAAACAAAGCACTGAATCACGATGATTCTAAATAACAATGTTGTTATCTCACGACAGGCAGCGTAATCTACACAATGTGTCTGTTTAAAAACATGATTATCTGCACTAAACCTGTATAACGAGAGTGTAAATGGTTATGGTACATTATGAAAGGAATGCATGACCGCACTTAGATTTTCAACAAACGCCTGAGGATGCACAGGCATGCCCAGAGCACAAAACTGCCTCGAAAACACAGATAGATTGTGGAGCTATGTGTGATTTACGCTTACCTTAAAGAGTTTTCATAAAACACTGATTTTGGTTCCAGTAATCATTTCTTCGGTGGTTTGCCCCTTTCTCCCCCAAAGTTAAACAATAAAAATAATAAACTAACAGTAAAAATCTTTGTTGCCTGACATCATTCCCCCTTGCTGGAGTACAAGGGAAGGACAGACTGTGGGTAGGACAGGGCTGGCACGGAGTAGCGTTGTGTCAGACACCAATTTTGCACAGAATTCACATTAGCCAGCTGTCTAATGACACTGTCAGAGGTGGAGTTACACCTCCAGCATTTAAGTGATTAATCTCTCTTATGTATATCGTTTCATAGCGAAACACTGCTTGTACACACTCCAGGCACCATGACCACTTCAAATCACTGAAATTCAGAAATGTAATAATCTTTCATGGGGAGAAAGAATGAGAAAATATCAAGTAATAGTGTTGCTTTGAAGGGACTATGTGCGCTGTTCCTGTCCCCCTGAATCCTGCAATGTAAAACATGTTTTAGAGAAACTGCCAAATTTACATTGCAGCGCTAAGACTGCCTCTTGTTACTGTGTACCAGACAGCCACTAGAGGGCTTCCTGGCCTTTCATGAGGTTTTGCATGAAATTGTCCTGCGTCCTATAGGGTCAGGAATGCAAACATGCGATCCTGACTCTGTAGTGTTAAAATCACCATTTAGCTCCCCTGCCCCCTAGCTCCCCTAAATATATTACAATCTTACCTTTATTCTAGTCTGCTGCTGCTGGCTCTGCCCCTATCCTGCCAGCTTGGCTGACATTATCAGAAGTGGTGGTCTGAGCCAATCACAATGCTTTCCCATATGAAAATATTGGATTGGCTGAAATTGTCAGTGATACAGATCAGGGGCAGAGCCAGCACAAGCAAAATACTGTGCTGGCCAATCAGCATCTCCTCATAGAGATCCTTTAAATCAATGCATCTCTAGGAGGAAAGTTCAGTGTCTGCATGCAGAGGGTGGAGACACTAAATATCAGTCACACTGTGCAGCACTGCCCCAGGAAGCACCTCTAGCAGCCATTTTCTTTTCTCTGAAAAGACAGTGTTTACAGCAAAAAGCCTGAAGGGAATAATTCTACTCACCAGAACAAATACAATTGGCTGTAGGTGTTCTGGTGACTATAGTGTCCCTTTAATGAACCAGTTTTCGTGTATAGATCAAGCCTCACTGCTCACTCGTCTGCCTGCCATTTAGGAGTTAAATACGTTTTTTTTCTGTTTATGCAGCCCTAGCCACACCTCCCCTGGCTGTAACTGACACAGCCTGCATGAAAACATCATGGTTTAATTTTCAATCAGATGTAACTTACTTTAGATCGGGTGACTAGGGTTTTAGTCCTGGCGCTTGGGATTTGTTGGCCCTTCTGCCCCTGAGGTGGTCGGCTGCATATGAGTGGAAGCGAGCGGCTGGCTCATAAAGAGCGCGGGCATGCAGTCGGCTGGTCGCACACCCGGCTAAAGGGAAAGCATGTGTGGTCGGTCGGCCGTCCAGCTGATAGAGAGCGTGGGGGGGGTTAGTGTGTCAGTGAATGAGCGT